AACCAACATGCAGTGGATGAAAATGGAGAGGTCAGTAAAGATCTTCAATGTGTTTGTTTTTTCCAATATATTTCCTAATAAATAATAAATGAATAATCTCTATTATATCTCTTTTAGGATCCACTAACCATCGCACTGAAACAGATGCATGCTGATATAGTTACACTGTAAGTCCTACATTTTATTTATCATTAACTTTGGTGCTTTACTTTGGAATTTACTCCTCTGTCTTTATCTATGATACAGGTAGCCCAACACTGACTTAGGTTGGGAAGGGGACTAACATTTCTACATTGTCTTCCATTTAGATTGAGAATTGCAAGGCTTAATGAAGAAATGAAGGAAAGCGATGATGCATTTTATGTTGGTGCAGGTAAATTAGACAAATAAAACCGCAGGTTTTGTGTTGAAATTTAGGAAGTCGCTGAGAGAGCAAAGGCGGCCCACCTCACTAAGGACTGTGTTTGCCAGATTTGGACATTTGAACCGTGAAAGTCCAAACCGTAACCATCATGTTTTAAAATGTGTTTGTTTTCTCYACTTGGCTAGCCTTCAACCCAACTATTACTGTAAAACTATTAATGATTATTTTAATAATCATTAAAATATAATTAATATAATTAAAATATAATTTTTAATGACTATTTCAGGTGATGTCACTTTTACTGATGTTTTCCGGGATTTCTCTAAAATGGCCTCAAATAATCCAGATATTCTACGAAGAGACTTTGGAGCAACACCCAATACAATAGCTAAATAYGATGACCCTGACAGACAAACCAGTTTGTAACTAGTTTAGCAGGTTAAAGCAATGACATAGAAAAAAAACAAACCAGTATATAATATCCAGTTTAACTAGTTTAGATTTCTAGTTTAACAAGTTGACACAAGCTCAATTTGGGATCTATATTCTATTGAAGACAAACCAGTTTGAAAACAACTTTTGAACAATATTAGTAACCAGTTTCTCTTGTTTTACAACATGGTTTATCATTGGAACTCAATTACTCGATGTTAAAGATCTTTCTAATTAAAAAAAAATCAGGTTTAAAATAAGATAAGTAAGAATAATACTTTGAAGTCAAATAGAATTAATGCCATATATTGCAACACTATAATTATGTACAATAATATTTTGCAAATAATTATGTAAATATTGTTTTGTTTTTTGTGAATTTGATGCTGAGACAGAAACAAATGCTCAAAATAATGAAATTCTTTGTGGTTAATCATAATTAATAATTAATAATCAAGTGCTCTTTTAATAGTGACATCTTCAAAAACACTAAAAGATATTGAGMTTTGCCAATTGTTATTGGAAGTGCAGTGATTGCAGTTGTTACTTAATAATAACAAAAAATAGCAATACTAAAATAAACTAATAAGTTTACCAAAAAAGTTACCAACAAAGAAAAGGTGCAATAGTCAAAACACCAAACACAGAAACCCATGAATTAGTGAATTTTTACAGATTTTTGACACCTTCAAAATTGGTTAAATCTGCTAAGAGAGACAATACATTGGAATATTGATTAGTCTCAAGTTTTGCAAATAATTTTAGTGAAATAAGTAGAGAATTTATTTTGAGAGTTATCRTGTTTCTGTATGTGAAATTTTGTAAATTGAAAAATCAAATATATTCAATAAAAGAACA